GTTCGATACTACTGTGTGATTACACAGAGTCCCATTTATTCCCTGCATGTCTGACGTCCATTCACTTCCCCGCCTTTCCAGCTTGAAGCAGATTTCGTGGAAGAGCTGTGATCGACCTGTTCGGAGTGATTTTGAGCATTTCATGTCTCGACATGCATGTCAGCAGCCACATGTAGAAATTATCGACGTTTATCTGAGAGCTTTGTGTGAGCTCAAATGCGAGTTCAGGCAGCATGCACCATTGAGGCTCCAGGTAGGGTATCATTAAGGCTTGCCGAGACTGCTTTGAGCAACTCATGATGCGATCCTCTTCAGTCCTAGGATGAGCTTCTTGACTGTAAGGCAAGGGAACTCAGCTTCTTTGAACTCCTCCATACCTTGGTATTCAATTTGGATAAACTCATATCATGCATATAGAATCTGGGGATGTTGAAATCACGAAACTTACTGGTCAAACATGAAGATTGAGAAGCATCGATTTTTCATTCCAGCTTCCATCTGGGGAGCCACAATTTTCCTCGACCTTTATTCTCAGGCTTTTCCGCTGAAACTATCCAGCCCAGCTGTTATGCTCTAGCATTCGAAGATGGGCCTCACTGTCATGAGCTGGATGGGTCAAGCAGGAGCTACGTCTATAAATCTGGAGGCCTCTCGCTGTAAGCAGCATGACCATCATCAACATCATCCGATAGACTTCCCAACCAACTTACATAGCTCCAAACTTTTCAAAAGAATTTAAAGCACAGTACCGTTACAGGAACAAACTTGCAGCCTTCAACAAAAACCAATCATGACTTCAGGTTCAGTCGAGCAGATTTCATTCCGTAAGTCAACCTAGAACTCTTCTGCATGGGTTCAGAATGTACACTCATAATCTTGATAGGTACGGCAATCGCTGCCGTTAACTCTACGGACCATCTTCGCGTTTATTCTCAGGGTCAGTAAATACTGTCTCTAGAATGGCTTTCCTTCAAGACCCTGTCCGCTGTGGCGTATCCTGAGAGAACTGTCTTGGGCGAACCTGTTCCTGATACTTTGCAGCTGACTCAATTTTCCAGATGTTCAAGGCGGTATCCGCGAGAGCAATTATGAAGATGGATGGAGTGGAGGTGTCAATGTCCTCTCCAAGGGGAAGCGCAACTCTCCCATTGCAGCCGCCTTCAAAGGACTCGAAAATGTCGGTGTGCTGTTTTTACCAGATGCTTCATCTTATCTGAATTTTCGAGTGTGGTCTTTAGACCTTCCTTCTGACTGGTGCAGATTCGCCTGTACTTCCTCTCGTCGGACAACAAACTCCGCGAACTCGCTCACGACTCTGACCGATGGTACGATGGCGCTCTCAACAATTCGAACTTCGCTCTAGCTCCATACTCTCAAATCGCCGCCACCGCTTTGCTAGCGAATGTGGATCTTACCATTCGTATCTACGCCCAGATCGCTGACAACACGATCCAAGAATTTGGATGGGATAGTATGACAACCTCTTTTCTTTGCTCGTCAACCCATATACCCCAAAAATCAAAAGAGACCCGATGCTGACCAGATTCTACAGATGCTACTAGTGGTTGGCAGAAGGCTGCCAATTTGGGACCTGCACTTCCTGGCACCAGTATCGCCGTCACTTCGTATGGAGGACCTTCAGGACAGAGTATCAGGTATGATCCAGTAACACAACCACAACAAACTTTATGCTAATATTAAATAGGCTCTACTTCCAAAAGCGCGATCGCTCAATCACTGAACTTTGCCACGACGCCCAATCGACCTGGTACACAGGCTCCCTCTCTATTCCCGCATCCTTCACCACACCCCGCGCCTCTCTCGCATGCACCAGCTTCAACGACACAAAGTCCGGTGTCAGCCTTCGCCTCTACTACTCTTCTCCCCACAACAGAATTCTCGAGAAAGGGTTCGATGGTGACGCTTGGTACGATGGCGGGTTTGAAGAGCCGACTATTCCTGGCTCGAAGATTTCGGCCATCTCTTGGCAGAATGGCGGTGAGATCCAGATCAGAATTTACTTCCAGAAGGGAGAACATGTCACTGCTGTTAGCGAGTGGGCATGGGATGGGGCTGGGTGGACTCCCGGTGTTGCTGCTTTGCCGCCTGCTTAGACTGTTCGGGAAGGCACAAAGTGAGCGCCATTTTTTTGTGCCTTTTCCTTTTACTTCTGAGTGTTTTTGGTCCTCATCATCATTATTAGTTGTCTTTTCACCCCTTGTCACGCCCGAGTCTGGGTATTGCTTCCCGATTTCTATCAGCTAATTGTCATGTATGACTTTGTCACTAGCTAGCACTTTCTTTTAGTTGTTGTGCAAATGATCAACTTAACTTCAATTGGCCTGTGCCTATGATGCAAAGAAGACTGAAGATCTGGAGCTGATTTACCTGACCTGTGACACGATCAACTGTAGAAACAATCTGGAGGTGGCTCCCGTAGTGATCAAATTTTTGTAGCTGATACCGAAATGAGCGAAGACCTGAAACTTTGATGTACGGGCAGTGGACATAGAGCGGGATGGCTTCATGTTAAGCCTGGCACATCCAGCTCGTAACCATCTGTCCCCTCATTCGATCGGTCAAATTTCAGACAACCCAGTTCCACTCCCTCAAGAACTCGGACGTTGACTGGCTTAAGATCCAGATTCTTCTTGACGAGCTTCTGTGTCTCTTCTGGAAGTTCATCGATGACTGATTGTAGCGGCCCATACACATTATGTACACATGTACCCCGCATGTCGTGCAGAAGGGATGGCCCATAAACTTGCGGCCAAACTGATATTCTGTTATGTTTTCGATGCCAAGCAGCTTGACTTGTGCGCTGGACGCATAAGCGCCGGCCCATGCACTCTATACTTGTCGTCAATGCTATTTGAAAATGCTGATGATTGGTGGAACTAAACATTCTTACTTACTCTTGTACATATACTGCAGTTGTCTTGAGCTTCAAGTCTTTGAGCGGTGCCATGACTTCGACTTTAACTCGTCCACAATGGCAGGAGCTGATAATCGGTGATGGCTCTTGACTGGACTGGCCTGATACGTCTGGGAACTCCGTCTTAGGCCTTTCCAAATGTGAGCCTCAGATACGATCACTGTGCAGAGATGCTCACTCTAGTTTAAATGTATCAAGTCCTCTCAGCATCCTGATGTTGACAAATTTTTACCCGCGCAGTGGACCCTCAAGGTGTTCCCCAAGAATACCAGTACCGCAGTTCGAGCAGAACTTAGGAGTGTGAGCAACATGTGGAATTTTGGCCTAAAAAATACTGACCTGATGACTCAATGCAGAAGAATTGAACCACTTTCCATCGTCACGGCTAATCTCAAGCACGGCCTCGAGCAAAGACTGCCAGAGATACTCTTACTTTCTACAGAGTAGACAATCGCACTTGACAACCGCAATGGGCTTCTCGAAGTGAAGTTCGAACCGATAACTGCCGCAATGACGGTTACCTTGGTACTTGCCTTTGTCGATAGTGGTCATGCCTAGCCTCCGGCTTCTGGGTGTGGTGGGTCACTCACTCACCCTGAAGTAGAAAGTCAGCTTGCGTTCTTCAGCATAGAGACATTTGCATTGGGGAACAACAGTAACCGGCTGTGGCGTAGCTATCGAAAGAAGGCTTCAAAGCAGCTTGACTTATCAAAGCACTTCTAATCTACCAGCTCTCTAATCGTAGCTCTGCAATGGAAAGTATCAAGGCGCTAGGAATGGTGAAAACCGTGACTGGCTGTGTCAGGTTGGGATTGAGGCAAATCTTTGCCGCATGAAAACCCCGCTTCTCGTTTTGATCAGGTGCCAGGACGCGAAAACACGACAAATTTAGGACAGAGGGAAAATCGTCGAGTGGATTGAACACAAGTCTTTGAGAGTCTGCGATATATTCCCAACTTTCACCCCGAGTTTTAACAAAGCGTAGCCGGTTCCCACAATTTTCTCTTGATTTTCTTTCCCCCTCACAATCGGTACCCATTCAGATCTCCCCTTTTGACCGCCACATGCCCGAGCGCAGATCATAAATTTGGAACGCGCTTCTGAATCTCATTCTAAAGAGTAATATGTAAATAAATCTCGCCAACTGATCTTGTACTACTCAGACATCAGCACGGTCCCGTGGAAGTACCTGGAGAAGGTCAACAGAGAATTTCCCGACGCATACGACACATGTGTGCGGGAATTCCAACCACTGACGGAGTGGATGCTTCAAACATATATAGCTTTTCCATGGGATAAATACTCGGCTCGAATGAATGCCTACAAGGCTGCTAATGTGGCTCTTGAGGATTTCTTGAATATCGGGTAATTATTCGGGTGGGAAACCAATATAGGTTCTGTCTGCGCCCCCATTTTTAGTACAGAAGTACTCCCATTTCCCAAAGCATTGTGACTGGAATCTCTCAACCAGTTCCGATACCACCTAGCTATCCTACCGAAACCTTCCAAAGATCCCGCGTCGTGCCTTTATCGAGGGGCAGAAACGTGACTTAAGCGAGCCCAATATTGGAAAGTAAATAAGGCTTGAAAGGCTTGTTGACTGTAGATTGGGGCATTCAGGGCTCGTTCAATTTACTCAAAGATATGTTTGATCTTGCACACCCCGACCACAAAATCTATATACATGAAGCCCTTGCCCATGAGCTTCTCGTCATGCAGCAACGGGGATAGCTTTGGAAGCCAGACCAGCCGTCCCCTTTCACAATTAGCCAGAAGGGTTACGAACTCCTGTATACCGAAATATATCTGTGGTCCAAAAAGGAGAGTGCATTGTCAATCAGGTTTCCCTCCTTTGAGCGTCTCATAATATTATGAGGTTCGGCCTAATATCAATTAGTTTCGTCAGTTCGCCTTTCGATCGTGTACCAAGACCCAACTCACCTTCCTTCCTTCCTTCCACTCCCTGCTACCTCCTCACTTTACTTGTTCTAAAACATTCATTCCAAAGTACTGGTCCATTTAATTACCAAAATAGGAAATTCCAGCCATCATTGAGGAGAATAGAAGTGGGTTGGTCTAGTGGTAAGACATCTCTCTCACACGCATCACCCTCTAGAGGGGAAGCAGAGCAGAGAAAGTCGAGGGTTCGATCCCCTCACTCACTATTGGAATACACTCATGCTGATCTTTATTTCCATTTTGCTATTTTGTCCCGCGTTGTCCTGTCGATCGCCTACTACTGAGCCCATCCTTTTTCTCTCTCTTAGTTCGTCTTCTGATCCTTTCCCTTGTTTTGGGAAAGAAGGTTTGAATCCATTTAAGTGTGACTGAGAATACCTGGTCTTTTTGAAGACGTCTACCTCCTTAAGAGTATTCTCGTAATGGTCATGTTCATTCACTAGGCTTTATTCCTAACCGACACCACGATAAACAACAAACACCCAGAGGTATGCAAAGATACTGAACGCCAACACCGCCCGATACCACCTAAACCCATCCCAGCCGAGCGTCCCACCATATATGCTCATTACATCATTCATCATACAAGCCGCCATGCCATTCTTTCTCCTAAGCGCTAGCCTGAACGACTCTAAAGCCACCAGTGACCAATTTGGTAATCTCCTCATTTTTGTGCTGCAGTAAACTCAACGCGTAAGCAACGTCGTTCCATTGTCTCTCCGTCTCGCAACGAGCAAGTCTGGCAGCGAGTTTGTCTGCGAGTTGTTTGGCGTGCTTGTCCTGTTACGAGGTTAGCGACATGCTTCCAACGAAAGTGACAATGAATATTTCGTACCTTTTCAATAAATCCAGCAAGGAACTTGATGATTCTCTTCAGAGCATCCTCTTCTAGATCCTTTTCGGCACTCAACAAGCTGAACATGTCGACAAAGTGATTGTACACTGCATTGTCCTTGGTGCTCAACTCAGTGAAGAACATGCGACTGAGATCCGCAATCCTCTTGTCATCGTCCTCGAGACACTTAGCCATCTCTCCTAATTGTCCCTTGACCTTGACTTGACCTGCTAAGATGAGGAATGTGAGAGTCATCAAGCATGTCCGCTTCACACTAGCATCTTTGTCGTTTAGTCGGCGATAGAGGAAGTCTGTGTTCTCGTCGATAAGATGATTGAAACAGACTGCCATGTCACCAAGAGCAATGACGACGTTGGAACGGGTAATAGGATCCTTCGAACGTTCAAGAATGGTGATGAGAAGCGGGAGATTAGTCTCACAATACTCAGAGCTCACACACATGAGCTTGGCCAAGCACAGAGTGGCGGCTGCTTGGAGGTTACGGTCCTTGTAGGTGGTGTTGTTCGAGCAAATCTCCGATACGAGGGGGCCGAAGTTGGCGAGAAGCGAGTGTTCACCATAGAGGAGTTCACGCTCACGAATATGTGACATGGCTTCGGTGAAGTCATCTTCTGTGGTGCCACCAATCATGTCAAGATCATCGGCGGCTTCCTTGGCAGCTTTATCAGCCGGTGCTTCAGAAGTTGGCTTGTTCTTCTCGGCTTCGGCTTTCCTTCGCTTGAAGTCCAATTCACAGAGCTCAAGATGAACAATCTGCTTAATGGCAACATGACCAACGATGAAGAGGAGCTGTGAGAGTGCGATGGATCCCTTGAGTTTGGGTTCTGCCTCAGCAGGTTCCTCAGGAGGCGGTGATGCCATCTGAGTGTCTTCACCAGCCGGTTCCTCCGGCTCGGGTGTCTTCGCAGTGCGTTTCTGGAATACGTACTTCGTTTTCCTCCTCAAAATCTCGGAGCAGAGTGTGTCGGGATGTTTCGATAGGGTGTATATCGCATTGATGGCTTGTTCAGCAACACCATACCACTCTTTATTATCCGACTCAATCTCGACGATAGCACTAAGCTTGAGGAGAACAGCATGATCATTGGGGAGCTTTGAGGGCTGCACAGCAGTCTCCTTAGCTTGCCGACCTGTTGGATTGATTCGTCGAAGAGCTATGCAGGTGTATTTCGCCAATTGGAGATCTGATCGACCAAGTCCTCCCAAGCCTATTCTCAGCATGGTTTCCATCTCTCCGACAACAATTTCAGGCTTCGCGGTCGCCAACATTCCCAGAACGATGATTGCTCCCCGTCTTTGACTCTTTGAGATTTCTCGCTTCTGCACACCATAGACTTGCCATAGTTTCTGGACAACAAGCTCTGAGATATGGTTTGCTTTCATCATGGTGCTCAGAAGTTGTTCCAAGGATGTCAATTCTGCAGGGGTTGCACCGAAAGTCAGACTGATCATGTTTCGTGCGATGTAATTAGCAGCATCGTTGGCCGTATACGAATCCGGCGCTTCGAAGAAGAGGCGTTTGTAGCACTCGATGAGGTGATTTTGGACGCCCTTTCCTTCGTCGCTGTTGCCCTTTGTCCAGATAAGTCGCAACATACGTCGGATTCCCAACTTGTTTTGCTCGATGTTGTATGCATCACCGATTTCGAAATACTCCATAGCTTCAATGACTTCGCTCTTGTTCTTGGATCCAAGAAGCTGACAGATGGTTGTCGTCGCACCGTGCAAGACTTCGATGAATTTCAGCGCTTCGACATAATATCTCCTCGTTAAAGTGAGCTTGTTGATGGCTTCAGACGTCGCAGCATCTTCCTGAGCTTTTTTCATCGCCGCAATCTTCTGTTCATCACTCATTGGCTTCTGCGGCGAATCGGATTGAATAACGGTGGCATCATCCAAGAGTGCTGGATCAACAGTAACATCGGCTTTCGTCGTGTCGACAAGGCCAGGAGTTTCTGCTGGAGGTTTCAAGGAATTCAGCTCGGCGTCGACAGCATCCAACCGGGCATTCCACTCCTTAAGTGAAAGTTGGGATCCGTGCATGATGCTAAATGGGTGGGTTTTGATCAGAGTCCCAAGCAGCTTGATGGCATTTCGACGAACGTTGCTGCTTTTGTCTTCGAGACTTCTTGCTGCTAATTCTGCGGCCTTTTGTCTTCGTTTGGGGAACTTTTGCTCCAGATCACAAAGTTTGATGTAAACCTGTATCGTTCGGCATCTGCAATATGGGTTGATATCCAAGAATCGTTCTTCCAAAACATCAAAGAAAGCATTTAGTTGTGACTTGTGATTGTCACCACGTTCCTCTTGCTTGCTGAGGTCAGCCACAAGATTTCCACAAACTTCGATGAGTGCGCATCGAAGAGCGTAAGACTCGCTGTCCAACTGTTTGGCCAGCATCGTCATTTGCTTGATGACTAGTCTTGGTGCCAACTCGGAGAGCTTGACGATGAAGGTGGACACCGATTTGGGACCTTTAGTATCATTGCTGTTGAATTCTTTGTTACTCAACTCGCGAAGAATCTCGTCTGCTAGTTGAGGGTAGTCGTATTGTTCCGAGAGAATGTGGAGAAATTCGGCCATAGGCTCTGCCAGATGCTCGAAGTATGTCAAGTTCTGAACAATGGATATCTGGGCAGCTGGAACATGTCAATACTGGGATACTACCGAGTGAAAGTATTTTCTTACCATAACCATGCCCATGGTGCTTCACTGCGATACAGAGAACCTTGAATGCATGCATCCGAATGGCAGTATTCTTGACTCTCTGTTCGCTCTCCAGAACCATATATACCGGCCGTGTGAACAGACTGATGAAGGTGTCCCGTTCCGAGGTCGTCAAGAAAATCTTAGACAACTTCAACTTTAGGACCTTACACATGATATCCAACGCAGTTTGCAGCTGAGCAGTGGAATCCCAGTTTCCATCTTTATCCTTTGCAGCAGCGGTCTTTGACTTTGCACCTTTCCCTCTCCCTCTAGCAGCTGGCGCCGAGGTAGATTTCTCCGCAGCTTTCGTCTCGACGGCCGCAATAGTCCATTGTAACAAAAAGCCGAAGACCTCCAGCAACTGTTTATGGTGGGAGATCAATTCCTGCTCGTCGGTCTCAAGGTCATTGTGAATGACATCAGCCTCCGTGGAGAGCCCCGAGACGACCAGATCAAAAATCTTCGAAAGCGCATGTGTAGGGAGGACTGATGAGGATCTAGAGAGTTTGAAAAGTTCAGAGTCGGGTACTGATATATAGTTTTGGGACGAGGGAAGAGAAATGGGTGCGCACTTTAAAAGGAACTGCAGAGAGTCAAAGGATGAGCTTCTGGTAATCGCATCTGGATTCTCTGCGACGGAGTCCACAATCGGGTTGAGGACTGTATTGATCAGGGAGTTGGTGAGGGCTTCGGGGTCGTTTTCGCAGTCGACGAGGCTAGAATCTGCTTCTGGGGTTGCGACAGTCGCAGGATCGCTCATGTAATGTTTGAGAGCATCATTGATGTCGAAATTGATTGTATCCATGTTGGCGATGTATGCGCAGTGTTCTGCTGCGAATGTGTGGACATCAACAGGATGCTTTTCGTTGTCACAAAGTTCTGACTGGGGGGTTTGTTGACAGTCGCGGTTTTCCGTTGTTTTGTTCGCGTCTCCTTCGGGAAAAGCGCGTCCATCTGTTGCCAACCCCACCGAGCACCACTGATAGTAACCCTGTCTGCCCGCAACGGCTGTACCTGAAAACAAACAACCAATTGCAGGCTTCCCGAATCCCCAATTCCCGTTACTGGTAGCTTGATCGTAGCTCTTGTGTACTCCGTAAGATCAGCTGTAGAGTTGTAAGATGGCGACGGCACGATCGAGAAGCGCGAAACCTTTCGAGATCCACAACGACGAGATGATGGACGAGTCAATGGAGGAAGACCACAGATTGGAAGACTCGAGGGCGGAAATGGACGAGGATCAGGAGGACCAAGAGGACGCCTACTCAGAAATGTCTGAGGAAAGCGATGCGGTTGTTGACCCGACTGTGCAAGAAGATATGGACAAATTCCAAGATACTTTCAAAGGTCTCAAAGAGCGCTTCCGACTTATCAACCGGATTGGAGAGGGTAATTTACTTCGTACAGTTGCTCGGTTTATATATTGACGCGTTATAGGTACCTTTTCTACTGTATATAAAGCCGAGGATCTTATGTACGAGCACTACCAGAACGAGTGGGATATCGAGGAGAAGGAAAATTCGCAATGGACATCACCGCCCTTGAAGAAGGCACGCAGGGACATGGATTCACTGGCGGAGAGGAACGAATATGCACAGCAACGACGGCGGCCGAAATACGTTGCGATCAAGAAGATTTACG